CACACCTGAACCAGCTAATCAAGCTCTTACTAGGCATGCTAAAAACTTCCCACCAGGTGTGTTGAGGCAAGCTGGAGCTAAACTCTGCAGTACACCGGCCCTCCAGGACCGAGTTTGGACAGCCCTGATCTAGTCACTTGTACAAATCAGAAAAGCAATTTCTCATCTTTCTGAACAAATTGGTAATGCTTTGGATCAGTTATGCTGGAATTTGGTTCAACTTGTCAAGCATATTTTCTACACATTTCTATAGACTTTCTTTGTTAATGCAGGGCTCAACACTTACTTTTCTTTTTAGGAGCACTTGTGTTCCCAATTTAAAAATTTTAGGAGCACCTTCTGATCAATAATCAAAAATTCTGATAAGAAATTAATATTAAAGTGATTAACAGGTGCATTTTGTTTTACCTTTGTAATGGGATTTTTCTAATTGTAGTCATTTCTGAGTATGTCATCTTCTATGTCAAATTCAAAAATTTATATTATAAGCTTTTTAAAATTTCTAATTAAAACAATAGAATAAGAACACGTAGAATAAGAAGATTAAGTTACCAATCATATGAAATTAGTATTAATAAAACATTTATTTGTAGTGCAGAGGTGGCACAGAAGAACACAAAAGTGGCTTGTAGGTGTATTGGAAATTAAATTCATAAATTCATGTTGAGATTAATGTTTTAAACATAAAATTTTCAATATAGAAATATTAAATGATTTAATTAACTGAAATTATACTTTAACAACGAAACTAAAACTGCCAGTAGGTGGCGGCAAGTCACTGAATCATTCATTCAATTGATTCGCTCAAATGGCTAATTCATTCAGGAATGAACGGCAACAACCAGGAGACAAACAAGGTCAAGAGCCGAGACGAAAAAGAGGAGTAAGGATGTGTGGTGGATATGGAGACAAAATAGAGGAAGAGATAGAAGAGGCCAAGGAAGTAGACATATCTATAAAACAATGGCCGCTATTGTGGGGGCCATCATGTTGTCAATTGTGGCCTTACAATGGTCGAGACGGGTTTGAATATTAGGAGATTAACAGTGTCCTCAATAATTTAAATGTTTCATAGACAGAAAAGGTATGTAATCCACCAATGTGTACTGCCCTGTTATATTGTAGCCTATACCGACTGTAATGATTTATAATCAAGCTTCAGTTCTAGCAGGTCACATTAGTCAAGCTCGCACCAGCTGAAGCTAAGCTGATCCATGTGTACCAAAAGGAATATGACACCAATCACAGCATCCCAATATAAGGCACCATTCAGTATTATGAGCAGCTTGATCACTTTGCTCAGGAGTAAAAGACAAAGAAAACACCAAGTCAAAGACAACACTGTCTTTGAAAACATCTCAACTATCGACAGCTGTAATACCAAAATAGTTTTCTTGTGGCTCAGTGGTAGAGCATTGCGTTAGGAGTGCAAAAGGTTGTGGGTTCGATTCAAAGGGAACACACATACTGGTAAAAAATGTATAACCTGAATGCACTGTAAGTTGCTTTGGATAAAAGCGTCTGCTAAATGCATAAATTATTATTATTAAATTACCAAGGAATGGTGACTGAGTGAAGCAGCTACAGTACTAGTATGTTCAGGTACAACATCTATGTATGTGCATACAGTAACTACTTTACAGCAACATTTTATAGTAATATATTGTATAGTAAGTGTGACCTGTACACATTTGCTATAAAGGCAGAAAAGAACATGCAATATGTATAAATTTGATGTAAATGTATCTTTTTCAAAATGAAAATGCATGAAACTAATTTTGTATCTAGGATATAGTGTATATGGAATTGGATTCAAGTGAACCACCTCACAACCTCATATACATGGATGAGGCTTACTTCAACCTAACCAAAAGGGCTGGAGTTACTTGTGAATTATTGTTTGAACTCTCATTCTGACGGCACCCATTCACTGCAGAAGATCCATTGGTGAGCAAGTGATGTAATGCTAAATTTATCCAAATCAGCTCCAATGAAGTAACAAACTCATGTACATCTTGGATGGCCTGAAGGTGAGTAAATAAAAAAAAAAAAATTTAAATTTGGGTTCAGATGCAGCTTCGAAGCACTTGATTCACAACAAGCTGGTCACGCCTGTTGGTCAAAACATGCATAAAAACACCTTTTACAAACCATTTGCAAATGTTTTCTTGAAAGTCTAATCTACCAAATGCAATGACAAATCGTATCTGTATAATGTGTGTTTTTGTATTAATTTACAGGGGTTTTGTTTGTTTTGTTTATTTTATTGGCTAAACAGGCCAATAAGAGATTACTACTACTACTTTTTTTATTACACAAATGTCCCAACCCTAACAATGACTCACTTTGCCATGATATTGCAATGGCAATAGCTATTTGGTGAACAAAATTCCAATTTTAGGAGGGTTGCTATAGTTCCAAGTTTGTTTACTAACTGTCAAAATGCAGGAATTATCTTAATCTATATTATGATCTTAACATGGCAGCCTCCATGAGAGGGCAAGTTCTTTAGGTGTAAATTTTTTTGACTGGAAAAGTACTTAAAATGGACACTTGTACTTGTTACATGATATTGATGATGTTTTATTTTAAAAATGGTTGAAAAAAGCTGCTCAGATTGATTTCTAATACAAACTGACCAGTAGCCCCTCTTTTACACACATGTGAGTATACTGTGTAAACAGGGCCAGCAGGTCAGTGACCATGGTTTTTCACTGATTGCAACATGCATGATGATGAAACAATATTAAAAACTAAATATGAATGCAGTCTTATGTTTTATCAAATGTTTCTGTTTATATTATATTGTTTATATTTCACAGTATGAATAAATATATACTGTATGTATCATCCTTGGATGATATCTGGTACTAAACTTGTTTTTTATCTTACAGAATTGAAATAATTCAGTAATGTTAGATGGATAGAAGGAGTAGTTAAGCAATGTCTTTAGACCTTTGCACAGTGGCCCAAAGCACTAACTGGGAAGACATGTTTAGTAATGATCTGATATAAGATTACCAGGATTGACAAATGGAGGGAACTCCAGAAATTAATAATTAATTTGATGATGAATGCAAATAATTTCTCAATAGCTTGTTTGGAATGAGTGGCCTTTGAAATAAAGACACAGTCAAAGTTTTGTTCATAGTGTGCTCTGCACGATCAGCCTTCATCATGGCTTTCAATGCGCTGTGTATTTGGAAAGGGTTCCTTTTAGTTTCTTCGCTCTTCCTTTCTGTCCATGGACAAGCCTCAGGGCCGTAAGTAACTTTGAATGGTAACTGTTTAGTAATATCTTTGTAATATCTACTCTTTTTTTTGTGAAATTTGCACTTGAATAGGATCCTTAAAAGGCTGAAAATTTTCTCAACTATACTATGCAATTTAATTTAAAAATAAAAATACTATATTAGCACAGATGGGAACTGCTTAAACTGAAGTGCAGAATGTTCTAGATAGAATATGTATTGGAATACAAAAGTGGTAGAACTGTGGACAAGCAAATCTCTTTATGCTATGATATCTCTCAACAGGTCTTTCATGGTGACGTTTCCTGCAGTGATCGAGTCGGGATCTGAAGCTAAACTGTGTGCAAGTCTTCTCAAGCCCAATGAAAGCCTTGTCATGAATATTTATCTGGTTCATGGTGATCAGAGCACTTTACTGCTGCAGGAGAAAGCTGAGGAAGAGTTTCACCGCTGCTTTAACATTCAGGTTTGCCAGCAGGAAATGTGCATTCACACATCATTGAACACTTTAGTCAAGATTTAAAATAACATATCACCCAACAGACACCTCTGGTAGAAGCAGAATCAGTGCAGACAATGAAGGTGGAACTTCAGGGGAAGAACTTCAAGATGACTGAAGAGAGAAAAGTCATGCTCAGACGTTACAACCATTTGACTTTCATCCAGACTGATAAACCCATCTATATTCCAGGACAGACAGGCGAGTTGTTAATTTTTGAGATTTGAAGTTCAGTGAATAGTGAGGTTGTTTAGTTTGTTTCACACTGTTGATGGTGTTGTAATGGGATGTCATTAGTGAAAGAGCATTAGCACTGTGGGCATTAGCACAATAGATATAGCCCACAGTAGCCACACCCCATACCACTGGGCTGTTTCATGCTGCTTGCTTTTGTATGCATCCAATAGTGCTAAGTATATAAAGCTTATAAACCAAAACTATCTTAAAAAATATTGTTTTAATTGTCAAATATATCACAAACTGTTTTTTTTTTTTACATTTACCCCTAAAATGAACATCTACTCTATATCTAAACTGTTACTCACACATTCATCTATGTACATTACATATGTAACAATAACACTATAAATATATAATTATACACATTAAATTTATAATGACATTTCTGAAGAATTACTTTAAAATGTGTGGTCTGCTCACTTATTTACTTGTACTACATACAAGTTATTTTGGAAGTGACATTGTTTTCTATCTGTACTATCTAATCTATCTGGTATTTATGGAGTAAGTAGATTTAATTTAGTCAGTGTTTCTTTAATCAAATTAAATTTGAATTCATTAATTTTTTTAATTAGATTCAAATGTCATTTTCTTCCCACATTTCTCAGAGCCTCTAATGTTGCATTGCATCTCAGAAATGACTAGTGAGAAGTTTGTAATCTTATGTTATAACATATCACTCATTTCACAGTGAATTTCAGAGTTGTCACCATGGATAGAAATTTTGTACCCTTTGATCAGAAGGTTTGTATCAAGCAAAAGCAATATTTAAAAAAAAATATTATTTTCTGTGCACTGTACCCATAATGCACCCTGCAATAAATATATTATTATTATGGATTAAAAAAAAAAATTGAATTAATTTTTTGTTTGTTTGTATGTTTTTAGTACAGTACAGTCGTGCTGGAGGTAAGCACATGGTACCCATCTTTTACAGCCATTCATGTCATGCACAACAAAACTTTGATCGAATTTGCAATTCACATGTTTGTTGTACTTGCAGTTATTAAATATTCAGTGATTACAGATTATTAATAATGGTCAGGATCTATGTAGATGACTAAAGCTAAGCTATATCGGCACTGTGTGTTCTTTGGGATCAAACAGGACAATCAGAATAACAGGATTGGTCAGTGGAAAAATATTTCCTCAACAAACTGGATATTGCAGCTTTCTCATGTGTTGAACCCAGAGGCCCGTCAAGGCATTTATAAACTGATGGCTTATATTGGTGAACGGGCGATCACACATTATTTTGAGGTGAAGAAGTATGGTAAGTGACAATATCACAGAACGTTTTTGCATCATTAAATCTTATTCATAACCGTTTTAATTGATTCCGTGTAATTGATTTCCAGTTTTACCCAAGTTTGAAATTACCATGAAAGCTCCAAAAGAAATAACTTTTGGTGATAGTGATATGAATATGGAGGTTTGTGGAAAGTAAGTGAAGGTTTCTTCTGTTTATTGCATTAGAATTCTAAAATACAATTAAAAAAACATAATTTTTTTCATTATGATATCGTTAATTACTCAAAGCATGTACTTTATAGATACACATTTGGTAAACCAGTGACTGGTAAAGCAAGAGTGGAAGTTTGTCGGGAACATTTGAGATACATTTCTCAAACAGACTTGATTTCACCATGTTTGGTTGAAACTACTGAGGTGTGTGACTGTATTATTTTATATTGTGTTACATTTATGAAAACATTTTCATCATAGTCTTTGTATTGGATGTTTTTAATGGATGTGTTTGTACTCTATCTGCAGATGAGTGCGGTGGGCTGTGCCTCCTTTACTTTGGACACATTAGCCTTTTTTAACTCTACAAATGAGAGATTTCTAAAAGAACATCTTACTGTAAAAGTGAATGTAACAGAAGAAGGAACAGGTGACAGATCCATGCAGAACTTGCATATCGAAAAAATACATTTATGTTAATATTAATATTAACAGTAATATTAAACAATTACATTAAATTGTTTGTTTGTTTTTTTAGAAAACACCATGGAGAAATCTGAAACTATAAGTCTGACATATGAAATTGGTAAAGCTATGTTTACTGAGCTACCCAAAATGTATGAGCATGGGTCAATTATACAGGGAAAAGTATGTCTTATTTCTTTTTACATTAATAGTGAGCTGTATTGAAATATAGTCTGATTTTTTCTTTCTTCCTGTTGAACAGATCAAAATTGCTCATTTAAATGGAGCACCTCTTCAAAACAAAGACGTTTATCTTTTGGAGGGTAAAAGGTGGTCCTCAAAACTGCTCTTAAATCTCACTACAGACAGTGATGGACTGGCCAGCTTCTCTCTTAATACATCTAGTCTTTCTGAAAGTGATATTAATCTAATGGTATGATAATGTTCGTGCACCCAGTGTTTGATCAATTGCTGTCTTTGGTAATTGAAAATAACTGGACATTCTTTGTTATTCAGGCAAGTGCATATCCAGAGTTTCATCATCAAAGCTTTAAAAAGCCTTACTTCTCTACAGAAGAAAAAACAATTCGGCTTCTCCGACCCGCCACTCCATACACCCCAACATTAAGTGAACTGATTATAGAGAATATTGAGCAACCATTGAAGTGTGATGCTGAGTTTACAGTGACCATCAAGTATTATTTTGTTGGAGAGACTGTTCAAGACTTCAAAACTGACATTGTCTATATAGTGAGTACAATTGCTGCATGTTCATTGGCTATATGTACAGTTTTACAGTGATGCATTCCTCTGAGATTTTCAGTTTGTCATCGGAGTGTCATCTGTCTGTTTCAGGTCATGTCCAGAGGAGTGATCGTTCATCATGGATATGAGAAGGTTGAAGTGAAGTCTTCTAATGGAGCAGCAAGTGGCACAGTGTCGTTCAAACTGTCTGTTGGTGCAGATCTGGCTCCTGCAGTGCAGATTCTGGCCTACTGTGTTCTGCCCAGTGAAAATGTTGTTGCTGGTAGCAGAGATTTCATGACTGAGAAGTGTTTAAAAAACGAGGTATACAACATTTTCTGAGATAATTTAGATATTACTGTCTTTAAACCTCATTTTAACACCACAAAATGGCTCCATTTTCATCATAGGAACACTGAAATGGCACATCCTACTGTTGTCGTCACAGGTTTCTCTGCAGTTTTCTCCTGCTAAAGCAGTTCCTGGTGAGAAAAACACTCTCCAGCTCTCAGCTCAGCCTGGTTCACTGTGCGGCCTCAGTGCTGTAGATAAGAGCGTCCTGATCCTGAAGCCAGGAAAAAATCTGGATACTGACAAGGTTTAATTGTATACCTTACATGGTTAAAATTAAAAATCGAACTTTAAAAAGCATACATTACTAAAGATTGATATTTCCAATGACAAGTTTTTAGAATAGTGTATTTAATCATTGGTAAATGTTTTTTTAATCTCATCACAGATCTTTAACCTGCTGCCAGTACGGTCAGTTTCAGGTTATCCTTATAATGCCATGGAGACACCAGAGTGCCTGGAAGTTAGACCTCGTCGTGCTGTGTCACTAGACCGTGTTTATGACAGCTTGAAGGTAACAAACTGCTCATAAAATTGTTGACGTTACTTATAAAGAGGAGAAAGTAGGATATAATGAAAATAAAGATAAAAATAGTATTTTAGTATTACTCCATACCCAAGAAATATCGATTTTAATTTACTTAGTTTTTCAATTTCCATTCAATTTCACATAATTGCTGTTTGACAGAGCATGGGATTGAAGATGGCAACAAATTTGCATGTGAGACAACCCCTTTGTCTGACATACTATGGTGTAACTTATCACAGAGGTTTTCACTTAGGTACGTCTACTTGAAATTTGTAATATGATGAATGTTTTGTTGTTACATATAGGCCTAAATTGCAGAAAATGTTTAAGGGATCCTGAAATCATGTCACTGGAATATCACTTTGTACTGCTGTTGTTGAAATAGCAGTTTCTTAGTGTTAGCAGCTGATGTCTAAAATGGATTCAGATGCATAAACAAACAAAAAGTGTTGTAGATGAGTAAATGCATAAATAGGGACTGATGGGGGAATTTACTAAGAATCAGTTCATACCTGCTGAGAGAGCACTGTTTTTTTACACACATGCATTAGTCATTTATTTGAATTTTCAGGGAGGAAGTTTTCTGAAAATCGAGGATCTGCTCAACCACCTGTGGAGACAGTTCGTACCTTGTTCCCAGAAACATGGATTTGGCAGCTCACTGAAGTGGGGTATGTAAATGCCATAAAGACCATATATTCAAGGATACTTAACAGACTTTGTAAGTGGCACATTACGAGGTAAGATAGGATAAGATAAGACTTTATTTTATACCCAAGGGGAAATTTAGACATTACAGCAGCATGGACAATAAAAAAAACACAAAAACAGAATGAAGAAGAAGAAAAACAAACAAACTTAAGCATACTAAAATATATATATATATTAAAAAAACACAAAAAAACAGTTCAATAATGACGACTGAATATACAAAATAAACATCATGAATACTGACATTCACTGAAAAGTACTGTACTTCTAAATAAAAGCAAATAAATAAAAAAATACATTTTCTGAATATGGATAAATAACTGGGTAAAACTGGTCCTATAAGAGTATCAGAACCCAGCCTCAGTGCTAAGATATTCTGATATCATCTCTGGTAACGCTCAGAATGTTAAGCCTTTTCTTGTCTTTTTCTGTGATTCCACCACTCCAGGAGACGACAGCAAAGAAAGTTGCTAATGCAACTACAGCATCATACATTTTTTCCATAGTACCCTACGTGCACCCAAGTTAATTAATCTCATCAACAGTTGATGGTGACTTTGGCCCTTCCTGTACAAAACACTAATGTTATATGACCAATCCAATTTATTGTTTATGTGAACACCCAGATACTTGTACACGTTTATCATCTCAATGTCCAGCCCCTGGAAGTTTACTCTGCATTTTACTATACTGTGCTGCACAACAGGGACTCTGGATCAGCTCAGGTTCCTGTCACAGTTCCTGACACCATCACCTCTTGGGACACGGAGGCCTTCTGTCTGTCCTCCAAAGGTCTGGGTCTGGCTCCTCCTGCTCAGCTGACAGTTTTCCAGCCCTTCTTCCTGGAGCTCTCTCTGCCTTACTCCATCATCCGTGGGGAGATCTTTGAGCTGAAGGCCACTGTCTTCAACTATCTGTCCAAGTGCATCATGGTGAGACTTCAGACTCGGTCTTATCCAATCATATCAAATATGCCACTAATCATGTGAGTTTGATTGACAGGTTAAAGTGACTCCAGCTCCTTCCTCAGACTACACTCTCAAAGCCTCCTCTGATGATCAGTATTCATCCTGTCTGTGTGCTAATGGAAGAAAAACCTTTAAATGGATCCTCACTCCTTCTGTTCTCGGTGAGTTTTCCAGTCTGAATCATTGTTTCTCAGTGTTTGTGTCTGTTGTATCTTCACATACATGTCTTGTGTTGTAGGAGTCTTGAATATTACAGTCAGTGCAGAGGCAGAGGCGTCCCAGACTGTGTGTGACAATGAGATTGTGAGCGTGCCAGAGAGAGGACGCATTGACACAGTCACACGAAGTCTGCTTGTACAGGTCAGCGCACATCAAACGGCTCTCAGACATAATTTCTCTATGATCCTAATGCTGCTTATGTCAGTATGATGTGTTGATGTTACTGTTTTATTCTGCAGGCTGAAGGAACTGAGAAGACAGAGACCTACAGCTGGTTACTGTGTCCAAAGGGTTTGTCTGCAGATAATATTTAGCATCATAGTGTTTCTCTGCTGATCACTGATGTGTGTTTCTGTCTCTCTGGTTCATAGGCAACAGTCTCTCAGAAGAAGTGAATCTGACTCTTCCTAAAGATGTGATAGAGGGATCAGCCAGATCCACTGTTTCAGTCATTGGTAACATTTACATACACAAGCAGAAATAAGTAAATTAGTATGGAAATTAGTACATATACAAGCAGAAATTGGATTTCTAAAATGTAGTGTATTATTTGTGTTTGGTTTGTAGGAGACATATTGGGTCGTGCACTGAGCAATCTTCATGGATTATTACGGATGCCATACGGCTGTGGAGAACAAAACATGGCTGTTCTTTCTCCCAATATTTACATTCTGCAGTATCTGGAAAACACAGAGCAGCTCACCTCAGCCATCCGAGAGAGAGCCACCGGCTTCCTTAAGAGCGGTGAGAGAAATCAATCATGTCAAGAGAATACTGAGAAATTAACTCACAATACATTTAGTCTTCGGAAACACTTGATCAACTCAAACATTTAATCACTGTCAAACTCAACAGGATATCAGAGACAACTGAACTACAGGCATAATAGTGGTGCATACAGCACATTTGGACATGGAAAAGAGAATACATGGTAAAAACGGTTCACTCTTATTTTTATCAAAGCAAAATAAGTTCATTTAAATTAATAAACCCAGGTATCCTGTATAAAATATGATATAGTCTGTCTTCCATATTTTTTTTTAATTGAGTCGATTTTGAGTTATCATTTGAGTTACATTACTGGAACTAATAATTAAATTACCACACCACCAGGTTGACTGCCTTTGTCCTGAGGTCTTTTGGCAAAGCACAGAAATACATATTTATTGATCCACAAATTATTCAGAGTGTAAAGAAATGGTTAATAAGCAGACGGGATTCAGACGGCTGTTTTATCCAACAGGGACGATTGTTCAACAACAGAATGAAGGTGTGTTATTTGTTTCTCAATGTTTGCTGAGATCAATAGACACCAGGTCTGGTAATAAATTTAATATTTGTTTTTATTTCCGTTTCTCCTTCATTGCAGGGTGGAGTGAATGATAATGTGACCATGACTGCCTACATTACTGCATCACTGCTTGAACTGGAAACTCCAGTCACAGTAAGTTCATCTACAGGAAACAGTATAAACTCATAGAAAAATTAGACTCACAGCGGCTGTTTCTCTGTCTTTGTCTCAGGATCCTGTCGTCACTAAAGGTTTGTCCTGCTTGAGGTCCGTCATTAAGGATGTCAAAAACACTTACACCACTGCTCTGCTCGCCTACACTTTCAGTCTGGCTAAAGACATGGACACTCGACAGCAGCTTTTCAAGAAACTGGAGGAAACTGCTATTTCAGATGGTAAGAGATTTGTTTTCAATGACTTTCTGTTGTCTTCTATAACTGTACTGTTGTTTTTTTATCATGCTCATCGAGTTACTGGTGTCTCTTTTGTCCATGTGCCCTAAAGGGTCTCATCTCCACTGGTCTCAGTCTGGATCTGCTGACTCTGATTCTCTGGCAGTGGAGATCAGCTCATATGTGCTGCTAGCTGTTCTCACTGCAGATTCGCTCACTACAGCTGATCTGGGCTTTGCTAACAGGATTGTCAGCTGGCTTGTGAAGCAGCAGAATGGCTACGGAGGATTCTCCTCCACACAGGCGACCCAAACTACTCAAATCAAACACATGATTGCTGAATAATGGGTAAAAGTCACATTACTGAACACATTTGTTTCTCAGGATACAGTGGTGGCTCTTCAGGCTTTGTCTTTGTATGCCACCAAAGTGTTCAGCTCTGATGGCTCCAGCACAGTGACTGTACAGTCAGCAGCAGACACTCACCACTTTGATGTCAATCAGGACAACAAATTACTGTACCAGGAGAAGCAGCTGCAGAACGTTCCAGCCAAATACAGCGTTGAAGTGAAGGGCTCAGCCTGTGTGTCTGTGCAGGTCTGTAGTGCGTTCAGCTTCATTGACTCGCACTCAATCTCTTCTCTTTTTCCTCTCTTGGCATGTTGTGGCTATTTTGCTATGAGATGGTTTATAAATGTGTTTTTGTTCATGTTTACTCTCTCAGGTGGCTCAGTTCTACAACATCCCCACTCCTACTGAAGTTAAAACATTGAGCATTGATGCTAAGATTGAGGGAGATTGCAAAACATTGGGACAAAATTTCATCTTGAGCTTCACTGTCAAGTAAGAACGGATCTGAAAAAAGTAGTGTGACCAGATTGCAAAACAAAATACAAATTTGATATACAGGCATGTCTTAAATGTATAGGCTCATGTACCTCTCTCATTCGGCATGAATCCGAATGTTTCCATGGTGGCAATATAACATTTAATAGCCAACCTATTATTTTGCAAACAAAGCTTTGTACTAAACGGGTCATAATATTCACCTTAAGCATAATTCACAAATAAAATATCAACTTGGCCAATGTTTAGTCAACTATTAGGGGGCAGCCCTAATATGTACATAGTGCATAATTGTCATTCATTTGCAATCGTTTTACTTGGAGGCATTTAAGAACCATCCTTTACAATTTGCTTTTTTTTCCAGATATGATGGTCGACAGGAAAGGACTAACATGGTCATTGTGGATATTAAACTCTTATCTGGATTCACAGCGGATACATCAATGGTGCATTTGAGTGTTTCATCACAAACTTCCCTGCAAACAAGCCTAAGGGCCCCCAGCGGGCTGCCAGCGCAGGGCCTGTGAGACTTTGCTCATTGGCAAAACTTTGGCCCTTTAGCGGTGGCCCTGCACGGGCAGCCCTCACTTAGCCCCCAGGAAGCCCACACAGGGCCAACACTATTAAACTACAACAATAAATCGGTTTCACTATAAAAACCTTATCAACTATAATTTCAGTCTTTGGGAAAAACAGTTATTATACATCTGAAATGGATGCAGTCACCACATAACTAATGTCTGTAGTCAAAAATGTACAGTATAGTCAAAGGGATTTCAAATCAATGGATTTATTAAATAAAAAAACAGAAAACATTCAATTCAGGTTAATACAGCTAATTTAACACTCTGAAAGGGACTACACTCTAAAAAATGCTGGGTTAAAAAGGGACAAACCCAACTATTGGGTAATTTTGACCCAGCGGTTGGGTTGTTTTGACTCAAAACAACCCAACCGCTGGGTCAAAACAACCCAACCGCTGGGTCAAAACAACCCAACCGCTGGGTCAAAACAACCCAACCGCTGGGTCAAAACAACCCAATAGCTGGGTTTGTCCCTTTTTAACTCAGCATTTTTTTAGAGTTTACATATCTATACAAATATAAAAATACTACAAATTAACAAAAATAAAAATACCAAATTATTAATTTGACCTCTGCTGAAAATGTTTTGATGGGCTAAAGTATTCATTGGTGAAGCGCACTCATCCCCTGTGGTCTCTCGACTAGTCAGCAGACGGTGGTAGCGCTCCTTTCCTCCATCCACTCTGTCTCTTGAATTCCACAACCAGACCTTTATTGCACTCTCAACTTCAGAATCAGGAGGACTTGGCTGAAAGAGGCATTTCCTAACAGCCTCTGAAAAGAAAATCGGCCTATATCAGGGATCTTTAAATCTGGTTCATTAATTAAACTCATTTTCTTGCAGATTTTAGCTCCAACTTTGATCAATCTCACCCACCTGTAATTTTCTAATGATCCTGAAGACACTGATTAGCATGCTCAGGTGTGTTTGATTAGGGTTAGCGCTAAACTCTGCAGGAAAGTGGATCTTGTGAGCCAGATTTGAGGATCCCTGGCCTATATGAAACAACAGGTTCTTAAAACAGGGCTGTCCAAACTCGGTCCTGGAGGGCCGGTGTCCTGCAGAGTTTAGCTCCAACTTGCCTCAACACACCTGACTGGAAGTTTCTATGCCTAGTAAGAGCTTGATTAGCTGGTTCAGGTGTGTTTAATTAGGGTTGGAGCTAAACTCTGCAGGACACCGGCCCTCCAGGAGTGAGTTTGGACAGCCCTGTCTTAAAAGGTCTCTTTTGGTTTGAGCCATTCCAGTTCAATTGAGTGACTAAAGAATGGCCAGTCAATGTTGTTTGTATTCTC